AACGCATAGCTTGACCCACTTTCGCGACTCAAAAGCGCTTGATAAGACTGCCAGGGATTCGCGATGATGTGTGCTCTCCGCCCCCGAATTTCTTCTCCACCCTTACTCCATTTCTTTTCACCATTGTCATGTAGCTATAAGATCATCTGCGTATTCTCCCGCTATGTCGTCACCTGCTTCCCCTTTTCTATGCTCGGTTTCTTCGACAGTGCTCATATAACGCTTATAGCTAAGAGGGGTGATATTCAGAGCATTTTCAACGCGCTTTTGCTTATTTTTCTCCACTGATGAGTTACACAGCACCTCACATTTTATCTGAGCACAGCTACCCATAAAGCGACTTATGGAGTAGCAACGCATGCAAACAATGCTCACCATTGGACAAATGCGGCACTGACCAATCACAGGCACTCGTGTAGTGTGTATGTGATTAAATGTAGGTATAATAAACACTGTTCACAAAAAGTAGAACTGTCTGCTCACCGTAGGTTATTGTTTTCTCGCGTGAGCGTATCATTCGCTTCAGTGAGATCGTCAATTTCTCGCTGGAGATTTCGCGATTTGGCACGCTCACGAGTCATCTCCTCTTCTTGCTCATCGAGTTGACGACGCATTTGCTTCGCTCGCAAATTACATTTCTCCGCCTGTAATACAAAATTTTTACTATGAGAGCATGATCTAGGAAAACTACTACATGAGACAAAGCTTGCTGGGGGACAGCGCGCGGCGGCCATTCTGCACTTCGTGTCCTGCTTGTCTGCGCCCTCTCGTCGAGCAATTGGCCAAAATGGTTCACGAGCAGTCTCCGGCACACGAAAATAAACTGAGAGCAAAAAAGTGGTGAATACACCAATACCGAGGATTCGAAGAGACGAGCAGGACAGGGGTAGGCCGCCGCGTGCCCCTCTCCAACTATATCCTTACCCCACTTTTTGAGTTAGGCAGACATTTGCGCTGTTTCTGCTCATATTCGTCATCGCCAGCGCTACTGCTAAACGAACGGTGTTTGATGAGCACCCACTATGAGTCAGCGCCGGTTGGTCCTTGCTTCACAATCATCCCTTGCAGGTGAAAGAAAACTTTGGCCACCTAGTCACCCCCCCCCCTTCTCAAATTCTTAAACAGTTGAAGTCATGCAGTAACCAGCTCTCAACTGGGTGTTGGGGGCTTCTGACAGCGAAGGCTTCCATAAATAACTCTCGGTCGTAGACAACCTATTAAGCACATTTCCGGGGAAGTTCATTAGCAGAATGAGGACAGATTCGGGGCTTATCCTTGCCACAACCTGCCAGCTCTTCATGTTCTTTTTAACCACTACACACAAAACCCCGCCCCGTCAAGACCATCCTTTTTGAGGTTTATGAATCGCTCTCGCAGAAAACGAGCTAGCGCCCCTCAAATCCATTTTTCCTGACACGTCCCTTCATCCATGCGCGTACAATACTGCAAGTATTGCCGGACACGAAGCTCGTTGAATGGCGCCAATAGTTTTGAAGAGCAAGTTTGGAGGGCACAGACCTTGCCACGTTTTGAAATAAATTCAGTTGTCGAAAGCACATTCTTAGATAAAAAAGCGTAATAAAATCTATCAAAAATTAGCAGTATGCCAAACTACTTACAATCTCCTTCTGCTGTTCCACATTTCGCCTTTCATCTTCGAGCTGAAGAATCGTGTCATGAAGGCGTTTCTCAATTCTCCTGAAAAAAATGCAGCTAACGGCACTATTACCAGTTGGTCTTCTATTGAAATCGAAGAGTGTATTTTATGATGGTGACGTCGGCCTGCTAGCGCTGCGATATGAAGCTCTGATGAGGTAACTGAATGACCTATGAAGAAAAGAGAGAAGCAAAACCGTCAATAATGGAGACTGTAGTTAGACGAATAAGCAGCAAGAAGGCGAGACACTGCTGCGGCGTGCGAAGGATTAGGAGACAACTGAAGTTGGAGACGTGGCTGGAAGGCGCGAAAAACCACAGTCTGATCCCTGCGCATGCGATAACGTAAACGCCTCACATCTATGTTTACGAATATAGGCTCGCCAGCATAGCTCGTTCCCAGATGAATGAGGCAACTTCTACGGTGAAGTTCCTCCAGCTTATGACCACCGCAGCATTCTGGTAACTCTCTGTTGAACCACTAAAGCGATTCACCTCTGACGTTGCGGATCAGACCACCCGTACAGAAAAAGACTTCATCCCTCGAGTAACCCCGAAGTGTCTTCAACTAAATCATGAACAAGATACTTCATTCTCACCTGAACTGCCGAGTTGCATTGTGGCGTTCCTGACTCTCAGCACTATTTTGTTCTTCAAGGTATTGAATCTTTGCTTCAAGAGCGGCGATCTGAGCACGTGCTCGTGATTGTGCCGTACTCTCAAGTTCGGCGGCTATCTGTAAGAACTAAAAGTATTCGAGGTACCAAATTAGTCGTGATCCCTGCAAACGATAGGGCCTGTGACACGGGGCGTGTTGGAACGCAGCCGAGGCGGCCTTGTCCCAATGGGGAAATCTGCCCTGGCTGCGGTTCAGCCATGCCCACGTCCTACGCCCTATCAGTTGCAGTGATATAACTGTATATCTGATCGAAAATAATCCGCAGTAACTCACCTTGGCCTTAAGCTCGCGATTTTGCACGGCTTCTAGACCTTGGCGCCGTTCGGCCTCGGATTCTGAGAAAGCTGACGCGCTCCCATCGATAACTCGGTGGTGAGCTGTTCAAGCTAGAAGCAGAGCCATCAGCATACCAGGGAATGGAGGTTTAGACGGTAAAACTGAAAAGCTAACCTGTTGCTGTGCTTTTCGCTGTTTATCTATAGCAATCTCGGCATTGTTCTGCTCCTCTTCCAACTCTTCCTCTAACTGAGCCAGCTTCTGCTCCATGCGTCGCTTCTCTTCCGATGAGAATGTGCCTCCCTGAAAAAGAACAAGCATTAGACTCGTACTCCAAACTGAGGCTATTCACTAGTAAACCAGACGACGTACCCGGCCACGGTGCTCCTCCAGTTCATCCTTCTCCTGTTCGAGCTGCCGCTTCTGGGACGTCAAGCATCTCATTTGCCTCGAATAATCGTTGATCTCTCAGCTCAGCGGATCCTAAGTAAACCGATGGCATACAAGAAAACGCAGATAGTTACGCAATAAAGTGAATAGAGGCTTTATGCTAACTGCTCATATCGCGAAACTTGTTGGAACGTAGCCTATGATTGAGTGGGTTCCTTGCAATCCACCAATGCAGAGCGTGCCAGCACATTCAACTTTTAACTCGTGCAGTTAACTGCAAGAATACCTCAGTCGTCGCTCGATATCCCTCAGCTGCGATGCAATTTCTTCCTTCATCTGTCGAGCCTCTTCACTATCATGCTGGTATTCCTTGATCATTTGTTGGTTCTTTTTCAACTGCTTATTGTACTCATCCTATAATGAGATCTTTTCCGATCCCTTTTTGAAAATCGCTGAACGTACGGACAGAACGCCGAACGTAGGCAACATCAAGAAAAAGTTAACGAGAAAGTACAATAACTGACCTTGAGCCGATTCGCTACATCGAGGTTGTCTGTTTCGAGTTTCAGCGATTGAGTCCCCTCCATCTTCATTCTTTGAACTGATCGGCACCAGATTTGCGCACGACGTTATTCTCGCAGTTTTGTTTTCAATGTCACGCAACTGTTTTACCAAACTTCGACGCTTATCTTCAGCCTCCTGGAAATCGTTCATTGCAGGCAAAAATGCACCAAGAAAATAAAGCACATCGCAATCAATGTCCCTTGACGTTACGCACAGCCTGATATACCACATTTTAGCAGTCCAGGACGAGCCCAGGTGCATATCGTTAGTTCTAAGTCACAGCCAGAACGGCAAAACAGGCGTTGCAAGCACCTGCACATCATTCGCAATGGGACCCAACGATTTAAGGTGGCAGTGGACCTTTGTGACAAGTCAACTAGCTAGGAAATTGCGCACAATGTCTCGTACTCGAGACAAATGATAGATCCAAACAGCGAAAGCCCACGTTCTCATTAGACCTCTTCCCTCACATTTACAGTCCCTGTCCGCTGCGAAGATAATTAAGGCGTGCTACGACTGGGTCTTGGCGCCCCGCCGAGCTCGTTCTGCCAACGGTTGTTGAGGGCGGAGTGGGTGTATGCGAGTTGGGCGCGATCTGTACCAATGTCAGCGGTTACGGGAGCGCCATGATACAGTAGGCAAGTGTATTACAATAGAAACAACTTCGTCCAAGTCCAAAATGTAATGGAATTTTCTTAGATCTTATCATGAGAAGGCGCCTGAAGAGAAAGGAGCTGAAGCATGCATAACTGCATTCGGTACACAGTCAGCTGTGAATGTCCTGCGCATTGAAGATTAGGACGAGTTATCCTTCATGAAGGACTGGAACTGTTATGACATGTCAGTGGCAAAGCGATCGCGCCAAAGGATCGCCTCTCGAGGCGGCTAAGCGGCAAGAGTTGGTGGAAAACGACTGATACTAGCGATATGAAAGAGTGTTGTCGCTTGCTCACTTCAGTGAGTGGACTGAGTTGGGCGTTTATATATCGTTACCATTCGTGGCAAGCGCGGCGGAAAGAATTCTGGGCAAGCGGGGCCGATGCAGCACCATTCACTTCAACTGGGACCCCAACCCATTCAACCGAGCACAGCGCCTTGAAAACCGCTCTCTCGCTGCGGTCTCGGTTGCGTCAAACATACTTAGGAAAGGCGGAAGATGGTGCGACTCGACGCAATAATATACAGGGGGGGCCAAAAAAAAGTCATTCCGGCCGAGTCACATATGAGCGAAGTTTTCGCAGCCCAGACAGAGGAAGTGGATATGAGTACCAGGGCGGAAGATACCCAAGATCTTCCTCTATAAGCAGGAGCCGGCTGCCGCCATTCACCTTCATGTACACCAAAATATGAAGTCATCTCCAGTCGCGGCCTGAGTGGAGAACGCCTTTGGAATTCACGTGGCCTCCAAACAGCTGCGGAACTTCTTGAATGGAATCACCCATGGATAGCTACCTGGAGACCAGTACTCTGATCTGCATGGACCTCAAACATCCGAGGCAGCCTCCGGCAACATTCGCTACTGGCCAGGAACATCATTACTTCACCGGCCATTCAGCAAGGGGGATGGTGTGGACCGGCCGTACCTGGAATGGATGAACCGATATTTTCTTCGTGGGCCCCAGACTGAGGGTGTGCGCTGGTGGCTACATCGAGCAACTCGAGGAGAATATCCCATCTTCATGTCGTCGCCCGTACCTCTTGGAAACTTTGTACTGCTACAGGATTGGGTGACAACACATTTAATCGAAGGGCGTTGGAAAAACTTTCGCCTACTTGGAATGGAAGAACGTTGAGTACCTGGAAAAGATGGAGTATTTAAGCGGGGGTCCTGAACTAAACCCCCTCAATTACTCGGTTCGGGCGAGCAACAGGGTGGTCTACAGTGGCGGAGAAATCAACGATCTCGCTCAACTCCGGTACCCACTCACTTTCGCGCGGCCGAATCTCTCGATGGCGCTCCTCCAGAAGGCTGTGGCGGAGTATCATTATAGTATTTAATGTGCTCTTTAATATGGTAGTAAAAATGTCCGATAAAAATTTAATAAAGTGTAACTTATAGCGCCTTGAAAGTCATGGAGGCAAAATGACTTTTTTGGCCCCCTGTATACATCTATGAACTGTACTACTCATAAGACCATGCAGCAGAGAGCACGCGCTTTTAATCATCAGATAGTGAAAAAAAAGATGAACAAGGACTGTTTTTGCTAGTAACACCTAAGGCAAGAGCAATAGCATTAACAGTAGAGTTCCCTTCAAAGTGTTCAGAGGTGCAACCATAACAGTGTCCTCAGAGCTCTTCTCAGGCCAAGCATACATGTACAAGGACATTAACAGAAATACTCACCAGATCTTTGGCAGTCAAATTGCGATCCTGTTCCGCACGTAGAGCCTGGATGTTCACTTCAAGACGAAGCCTAGAAATTACTGATAGGTAATATAATATTTTGGAGAACTTTGTAAACCCCACCTTGCATCTTCAGCGAAACCGAGTTGAT